TCTATCTATCTATCTATCTATCTATCTATCTATCTATCTATCTATCTATCTATCTCTCTTTATCTATTCCAGGGGTCTTCAAACTTGACAGCTTTAAGACTTGTGGACTTCAACTCCCAGAATTCCTCCTCCAGTCATGTTAGCTCAGAAATTCTGGGAGTTGAAGTCTACAAGTCTGAAACTTGCCAAGTTTGAAGACCCCTTGCTCTATTCTTTCTTTCTGGGGGGATCATGTGACACACACACACCCCCGGGGACACTGCGACCATCATAAATACAAGTCAGTTTGCCAAGCGGCTGAATTTTGATCCCGTGACCACCAGGATGCTGCAACGGTCGTAAATGTTAAAAACAGTCCTAAGTCACCTTTATCACGTGCCTTTGTAACTTCGAACGAATAGTTGTTAAGTCGAGGACTCCCTTTAATTGAAGAAATTAGGAGTCGTTGACTTTGGGTGTCACCTTTGCAATTTCCTACGGTGCCATTTTCATTTCCACCCTTAGCCTGGTATGGTCGGTAGGTACGTTTTTATAGTTCTGCTATTGTGGTATGCTGCTCGCAGGCAGAGATCCAACAGGGAATGTTTATGAAACGTTGTGCTTTGGGTGTGAATCTGTCCCTTCCTGAGCATGAAGCAGGATGCTTTAAGCGTGAAGTCCCAAAGGAGCTTTTTTTCAGGAGGCAATTGGACTACGTTTTTTTCTTTTGAAGACGTTTCGCTTCTCATCCAAGAAGCTTCTTCAGCTCTGACTGGAAGGTTGGGAATGGAAGGATTGATACTCCTTGCAGACAGCTGGTCATTTGCATCCTTTTAGAGGGTCGTTGAGGCCACTTGGAGGTTTGTCTTTGTCCTCAGAGTCACCTGAGTGGTGCAAATGGGTGGGGAGCTGCCGAAAGGACTGTATTGTAGAGAGGAGATAAATGATGTTGTATCCCACCCCCTCTGTTGACAGAGGGCTGTTCAGTTTTGGCATAGATGGCCTCTTTGACCCCCTCTTTCAAACCAGCGGTCCCCTCTGACCAAAATGTGGACTTCGGCCTGTCCAGGTGGCCTCAACGACTCTCTAAAAAAGGATGCAAATAACCAGCTGTCTGCAAAGGAGTATCAATCCTCCCCTTCCCCAACATCCAGCCAGAGCCGAAGAAGCATCTTGGATGAGAAGAGAAACGTCTTCAGAAGAAAAAAGCAAGAAAGTCCAGTAGGGAAAAAAAACAAAAAACCATTTTTGGGACAGCCATGATCTGGACGATGGAGAATCTCCACAGACATTTAAGCACAAAGCATTTCTCAAACTGCTTAGAGCAGCAGCCTGTTGGCAAAGCCGGTTTCATACGCGTGCATAAAATTCCACCCTCAAAATGGAGGATTTGTACAGAGGCCACCGGTAAAATCTTGGTATTGCAGGTAAACCTCCCATTCCCTTAAAGCTGGTCCTTGTCCAACCTTTAAACCCAACGCCACCATGGGTTGGACTAGAAGACCTCCAAGGTCCCTTCCAACCTCGTCATTGTGTTATTCCATCCATCAAACAACCCATCAATGCACACCCTCCCGTTTGAGCCTCTGCAGCCGCAGGGCAGTGAATGCTGGGAAATACGCCAGGGGGGGGGGAAAAAGGGACCACCTGGTTTCAGGGAGATATGCCCTTTGACTTTGAAGGGATGGGGGGGGAGGTCTGAGTGATGTTGGCTAGACGGGGTTGGACTAGACTAGAAGATCTCTGAGGTCTTGAAACCTGGCGAAACTTTTGTGGACTTCAACTCCCAGAATTCCTCAGCCAGCTAGGCTGGCTGAGGAATTCTGGGAGTTGAAGTCCACAAGTCTTAAAAGTTGCCCAGTTTTGAGAGCCCCGTTCTAGGAGAGAAGGGGGGGGGAAAAAGGCGTATTATTTCCTCCTAATAGACGGCCCTGAGTAAATTGTATGAACAAATGAAAGAGGTATTTCTCTAATCTGTTGCATTTGTAGATATGTTTCGGCCAGCAATACTCTGGAGGACTGGAATGACAAATTAACACAGTCAGAAGCGTGAGTCTTGTAACCTTCTGCATCAAACGTGCACGCCTTCTGCGCAAGAGCACCACTAACCCTTCCTTCCTTGCACTAATCCCTCTTCTGCTCGGTCCCTTGGCTGTAAACGCTTCCCAGGTGCTGGGGGTGAGATAAGGCAAAATCGGGACAAAGGGTCAAGAAACGGCACCCTGAACTTTTCTTAAAGAGTTTCGGGGTGTTTTTTTGCTGATGCTTTTCCCCGGGGGAGGTTGATCGTAAGGTGGGTTCACTTATCCTACTAGCAATCACTACTAGCACTGATGATGTTGCCTAGTTGGGTCATGAAAAGTTTGCAAGGAAACAACCAAGGTCAGAGAGCATCATGGAACCTACAATCCTCCTCCTCCATCTCCTCCTCCTCCTCCTCCTCCTCCTCCTCCTCCTCTCTGCAAACCCCCTTCCCTTCTAGCACTGATGTTGTTACTTAGTTGGGTCATGAAATGTCTTCAAGGAAACAACCAAGCTCAGAGAGCATCATGGAACCTACAATCCTCCTCCATCTCCTTCATCTCTTCCTCCTCCTCCTCCTCCTCCTCCTCTCTGCAAACTCTCTTCCCTTCTAGCCCTGACTATGTTACCTAGTTGGGTCATGAAACGTCTTCAAGGAAACAACCAAGCTCAGAGAGCATCATGGAACCTACAATCCTCCTCCATCTCCTTCATCTCTTCCTCCTCCTCCTCCTCCTCCTCTCTGCAAACCCCCTTCCCTTCTAGCCCTGACTATGTTACCTAGTTGGGTCATGAAACGTCTGCAAGCAAACAACCAAGCTCAGAGAGCACCTAGAACCCCTCATTTCAACCCGAGCTACAAATATTCTCCTATACAGGTAGTCCTCAACTGACAACAATTCATTTAGTGACTGTTCAAAGTTACAACGGTGTTAAGGGGGGGACTTGTGACCATTTTTCACACTTACGACCATTGCAGCATCCTCATGATCATGTGATCAAAATTCAGACGCTTGGCAACCGACTCATATTTATGACGGTTGCAGTGTCACGAGGTCAGGTGATCCCCTTTTGTGACCTTCCGACAAGCTAACGGGGAAGCCAGATTCGCTTAACAACCACGTGACTCACGAAACAGCTGCAGTGATTCACTTAACAACTGTGGCAAGACAGGTCATAAAATGGGGCAAAACTCAAATGTCTCACTTAGCAGCAGAAATGTTGGGCTCAGTTGTGGTCGTAAGTTGAGGACTACCTGTAGTGGCAGTGAAGAAAGACCAGAATCTATGGGTCTTGCGTCTTTGAGCAAGGGGTGTGTCGGCCACCTCCCAAGAACGCCATGGGGTTTCTTCTGCTGAGGAAACCTTCCCAGCTGTTTTGGATCAACATTAGAGCTATCTCCAACCTTCCTTTGTTTGCTGGGAAATCTTGTGGAGAAAATGGCAGCCCTAAACTTGCAAAGATCGATCGATCAATCAGAATAAAGCTGGAAGGGATCTTGGAGGTCATCCATTCCAGCCCCCTGCTCAAGCAAGAGACCCTATCCCAGCGGTGGCTAACCTTTTTGGGCTCCTGTGCCAAAAATTGTGCGCACGCTTGCACGCTCGTACTCGCGTGCCAGCACCGAGAAGACAATGCGCGCCCCTTCCATACTCCCTACGCATGCACACGTAATCCCCACCCACCCACCCCCGCCATTTCCTTACCTGCACTGCATCTCACAGCTGATTTTGGGCCAGTTTGAGGCCTTTCTTGGCTTCCCAAAACCTTGAAGAAGGCTTCTGCAGGCTTTGCAGGCCGAAAACGAGGCCCGTTTCGTCACTTCCGGTACTTTCGGGAAAACAGGAAGTGATGAAATGGGGCTAGTTTTTGGCCTGAAAAGCCTGCAGAAGCCTTAAGCCTTTGGGAGGCCGAAAAAGGCCTCAAACCGGCCGAAAATCAGCTGTGAGGCACGCGCATGAGCTGTGAGGTAAGTTTGCCTGCAGCTCACGTGCCGGCACAAATTGCTCTGCGTGCCATAGGTTTCATCATCACGGCCCTATCCTATACCATTTCAGACAAATGGTTGTCCAGCATCATCTTAAAGATCTGTAGTGATAAAAGCACTCACCACTTCTGACGGCAACCCCTTCCACTGAAGGAGTCCTAGAGCAGAGGTCTCCAACCTTGGCAACTTTTAAGATTTGTGGACTTCAACTCCCAGATTTCTTCAGCCAGCCATGTCGGCTGAGGAATTCTGGGAGTTGAAGTCCATACGTCTTAAAATTGCCAAAGTTGGACACCCCTGTCCTAGAGTAAACCAATGAGTGGAGCCATTGAGTGTCAGGCCACCGTTGAATGTCAGGCCAGAATCTGCCTTGGTTGTGCGTGAACAGTGGGAGCATCAGGTTTAGGGAAGAAGTTCAACCATCTTGGTCTTCCTTGATTTCTCACTGACTTTTAACCCCACTAACCGTGGTCTCTTTCTGGAGTGCCTCCACAGGATTGGGAGGATTGTGGGTCTCCTTCCTGAGTGGGTGGCCGCTTGGTGATGGTGGTGGCGGGAAAGGAGAGATTTGGGGCTGATTTATGGTCCCATTTAGACTTTTAATATAATATAAAAAAAATTTTTTTAATAAAAAGGGATGCGGTGGCTCAGTGGCTGAGACGCTGAGCTTGTCGATCAGAAAGGTCGGCAGTTTGGCGGTTCGAATCCCCAGCACTGCGTAACGGAGTGAGCTCCTGTTACTTGTCCCAGCTTCTGCCAATCTAGCAGTTCAAAAGCACGTAAAAAAATGCAAGTAGGAAAATAGGGACCCCTTTGGTGGGAAGGGAACAGCGTTCCATGCGTCTTCAAAGGCGTTTAGTCATGCTGACCACATGACCACGGAGACGTCTTCGGACAGCGCTGGCTCTTTGGCGTTGTAACGGAGATGAGCACTGGCGCCCCCTAGAGCTGGAAACGACTAGCACATAGGTGCGAGGGGAACCTTTACCTTTTAGACTTTTAAGGTTCTATATAACTCCAGATGAATAACTTGTTTTCTCTCATTAATTCATCAAGGTAAGATCCACCCCCCCGTCACCTCTGCCTGTCCAGTCAGCTTGAATAGGTCCTGTCCCTCCAGGTCTAGTCTGAATACAGGTAGAGTTCGGCTTACGACCACAATCAAGCCCAAAATTTCTGTTGCTAAGTGAGAAATTCAGCAAATTTTGCCCCATTTTATGACCTTTCTTGCCACCGTTGTTAAGTGAATCACTGCAGTTGTTACGTTAGTAGCACGGTCGTTAAGTGAATCTGGCCTTCCCATTGACTTTGCTGGTCACTAAAGGGGATCACATGAGACCCTGCGACCGTCATAAATAGGAGCCAGTTGCCAAGGGCCTGAATTTAGATCACTGGACTGTGATGATCGTGTCATAAAATGTTCATCGGTCCCTTTTTTTCAGTGCTGTTGTAACTTTGAGTGGTCACGAAACGAACTGTCGTAAGTCGAGGCCTACCTGTAATGCGGGGGAAGCCGCCATTAAAAATCACTATTCCCTTAGTCTGGAATTCCTTCCTTGTGGGGGATTTGCTATGCATTTCTCTCTCTTGGGTTTTAGAAATATGGTAAACTTCTACAGCTAGGCCTTGACTTACAGCCATTCGTTTTGTGGCCGTTCAACCATTACAGCGGCACTGAAAAAAAGCAACTGGCAGCTGCTTTTCACACTTACGACCGTCGCAGCGTCCCTGTGGTCACGTGATCAAAATTCAGGCGCTTGGCAACTGACTCATATTTGTGGCGGTTGCCATGTCCCTGGGGATTCCCACGAACCCCTTTTGCGACCTTCCGACAAGCAAAGTCCATGGGGGATGCCACATTCACTTCACAGCCGTGTGACAAACTTAACGACTGCAGCGATCCACTTAACAACCATGGCCAGAAAGGTCGTAAAATGGGGCAAAAACTCACTTAAAAGTGTCTTGCCTACTAACAAAAATTTTGGCCTAACCAAAAAAAAAAAATGGCTTGCCCTCGGAAGTTGTGGGAGCGCTACCGCTTGAGACTTTCAAGAAGAGACTGGACTGCCATTTGTCAGAAATGGTGTAGGGGGTTGGACTAGATGACCTACAGGGTCCCTTCCAACTCTGATTACCTGTTATCTGCTAAAGGGGGCTTTGCAGGGTGCCTTGTTTTCTGGGTTTTTATCTTAAATCTTTTTGAATTACTCATATGTAGCCTGTTTTTCTGAAAATAAGACCTATCACAAAAATAAGCCCTAGCATGTTTTTTTTTACATATGTGCCTAATATAAGCCCTACCCCCCAAATAAGCTCTACTTAAGAGCCTGCACGGCTGGACAGCTACCCATTCTCTCAGGTTCCTCGCGGTGCCAGCGGGGTGGTGGTGGAGCTGCCCAATGCGCCCCACACCGGCTTACCTCAGGGCCCCCTCAGACAGGCCATCCACGCCCCGACACCTGTCTCGCAGTGGCAGCACCATGCTGGTCCCACTCCTTCTGCTTTCTCGCAGCCACAACGGAGCAGATGTCAGGGTGCCAAGTAATGAACCCATAGCAAACAAGAAGTCCGAGGCAGGTAGATTCCTCAAAGGATGGTTTTATTGGACCTATCATATTGGCACCGTTCTGGTGGAAACTGACTCTGCCCTTTTCACCTAATTAGAAGTAAAACGTTTTTCTCCTTCCCCTAAACCAGGGGTGTCCAACCTTGGCAACTTTAAGACTTGTGGACTTCAACTCCCAGAATTCCTCAGCCAGCAAAGCTGGCTGAGGAATTCTGGG